GAAAGAGAAAGCAGGTTTTAAGTTTTCTGAATGGAGGGTCCGAGGAGTAAATGCAGTAGCCCACACAGAGCCCTCAGCACGGCGCCTGGCAGTAGGCTCTCGGTAAGAGCACCATCATTATTAATGATATTTAAATATGAGCTTGATTTTAGGCTTGGATACTGGGAAAGATAATTTGTTAAAGGATGTTATACAGCATGAATTTGTTCAGCTTCTCAAAAGGTGAAACATTTTTATCTTGGTTTTTCTGGGTGCTTTTAATATACTTTGGAATTTTCTACATTTGTGGTCAGATTTTTATGGGAATGTAAGTTGTAATTTCTCCTGGATAAATATTACGAATGGATTTTGGAGGCATATATTTAACTTCAGAAGAAACAGCCCAACTGTTTTTTTAAAGTCTCTATTGTTTTGCATATGTATTTTTCAAATGTTGTCTCACAGTCTGTGCCTCCTTGTCTTTTCATTTTCTTAAGTGTTTTTTGAAGACCAGAAGCTTAAATTTTGATGAACTATGATTTACCAAGTTCTTCCTTTATAGATCTTGCTCTTTACTATTATGTCTTAGAACTCTTTGCCTAATTCAAGTTAAGGATTTTTCTCCTGTGTTTTCTTCTAAAAGTTTTATAGTTCTGGTTTTCCATTTAGGTCCGTAACCCACTGTGAGCTGATCTTAGTATATGGAGTGGGGTCCAGTTTTTTATATGTAGATTTCCAGTCGTTCTTGCACCATTTGTTGAAAAGGTTGACCTTTCTCCACCTTGGTTGAAAATGAGATGACCTTATATATGTGGGCCTGTTTCTGACTCTTGATTGTTTTCCATTAATCCAGGCATCTGTCCTTTAGCCAATACCACACTGTCTCAGTTAGTGTTGCTTCATAGCTAGTTGTGAAATCTGGTAATACAAGTTGTCCAACTTTGTTCTTTTCTGAAAGTGCTTTTGAAACACTTGCCTAGTTCTCCTACTTCTTTGTAAATTTTAGAATAAACTTGCTTGATATCTACACATCCTGCCAGGATTTTGATTGGGATAGCATTGAGTTTATAGATCAAACTGGGGGAGGGACTTCCCTGGTGGTGCAGTGGTTAAGAATCCGCCTGCCAGTGCCAGGGACATGGGTTTGAGCCCTGGTCCAGGAAGACCCCACATGCTGCAGAGTGACTAAGCCCGTGCGCCACAACTACTGAGCCTGCGCTCTAGAGTCCTTGTGCCACAACTACTGAGCCCACGTGCCACAACTACTGAGCCCGCGTGCTTAGAGCCCATGCTCCACAACAGGAGAAGCCAGTGCAGTGAGAAGCCCATGCACCGCAACGAAGAGTAGCCCCTGCCTGCCGCAACTAGAGAAAGCCCACGTGCAGCAACGAAGACCCAATGCAGCCAAAAATAAAAATAAATTAATTATTTTAAAAAAAATTGGGGGAGAATTGACATTTTAACAATGTTGAGTCTTCTAATCCATGAACATGGAATCTCTCTCCATTTATTCAGGTCTTTTTTTCATCAGTGTTTAGTAATTTTTAGCATGTAAATCTTGCACATATTTTCTTAGATTTATACATAGGTATATCATGATTTTTGGTGCTATTGTAGAAAATACCATGATCTAAATTTCAATTTCCAAATTGTAGAAATCAATTTCTATATAATACATAGAAATACATGACTTTTCTTTATTGATCATGTATGCTGGGGTCTTGTAAACCCATCTGTTACTTCTAGTATCTTTTTTATAGATTCTTTGGGATAGTGTACATTCAGTTACCTTGGGATTTTAATTCCTGTGTGTTTTTTTATGAGACTGCCCAGCTCTTTGTAATTTTGGCTGTACCTTCACATTCTAATCCCTAATGTGCTCATCCTTTGCTTCTTACTTTACAGAGTGCCCCACTGGTCCAGACATTATCCCAATTGTAGCAGGTGTGGTTGCTGGAATTGTTCTTATTGGCCTTGCATTGCTGCTCATTTGGAAGCTTTTAATGATCATTCATGATAGAAGGGAATTTGCCAAATTTGAAAAGGAAAAAATGAATGCCAAATGGGACACGGTAAGTTGGAAATCATCTAAAAAGGAGGGTGATTCATAAAGCAAATGTAACACTTCTAAAACTTATTAGGTCTAAAGCTGATTATTAAAGTCCTTTAAATATTTTATTCCCCCCAAAATTTATTATTCAGAAAACTTGCATTTAGTGAAAAATAGAAAACATCTTAAGTATATCCCATTAAAGCAGAACAATTATAAGAATGTTTCTTCTGGTTACTGTGGTCATTGTTTTTATTTCCTTAATAATTTTAATCTTAAATCTGCTCTTCTGCCTTTCTTTTTCTCATGTAAATAGAATCCTAAATAATAGCAAGCTATTCAGTAGAAAGCTTTTTCTGTTTTTCTTTTCCCCCAACAAAGAAACCTAAGTAGAAAGCAGCCAGACTCAAAAGGCTACATACTGTATGATTCCACTTATATGACAGTCTGGAAAAGGTAAAACCCTAGAGGCAGGAATGAGATCCAGTGGTTTGCAGGGGCTGCAGCTGGGGGAAGGGGCCCGAGGGATCTTGGGTGATCTTCATTGTGGGTGTGTTTATACATTTGAGAATTCATGGAACTGTGTACTTAAAAAGTGTATTTTTATACTCTGCAATTTTACAACTTAATAAACCTGGCTTTATAAAAATTTAGAAGCTATAAGTGATGAAAGTTGACGCCAGCAGTTAGTGATCTGAAGCGTGGGGTTGGAGGCCGAGGTGGCCAAGTGTTGGCCTTTGTGTATTCATCTTTTGATACAAGAAAGCAGTGACAATCTTCAGTATTGTTAAATTGTAAATGAATTTTAGTCATTTGCATTTTACTACAATTTGCTTGGGTTTTTAAAAAAATTAATTTTGCAAGTGTAAAAATAGTAAAAATTCTCTTTTATAGTGTTTAAACACTATACATGTCAGCTTTTTTTCTGATGAAATCATTAGAAACTATTTCTTTTACTTCAGCAAGAAAATCCGATTTACAAGAGTCCTATTAATAATTTCAAGAATCCAAACTATGGACGTAAAGCTGGTCTCTAAGTTGCCGTTCGTATTTTCTTTCATTTTCTGTCTTTGCATGTGAAATTTATCCTTTCTACTGCACTGTGTGCCCCTTATCACTATTGCTGCCTTTTTTTTTTTTTAAAGTCTGGCTTTATTTATATGGCTATATTATGGCTTTTCTTTTTGTGTGTTAATACAGTTAGTGTTTAGAGGGGCTTTGGATTAAGCTTTATGGTATAGAAGCAGCAGCTGTGTTGTAGTGAAAAGAGAATGTGCTTTGTGATCAGAGAGACCTGGGTTGAGTCCCAGCTCTTCCACTTAGTAAGTAGAATGGCATTGGGTCACTTCCCAGAGCTTTAACATGGAGTCAGTAGTGATATTGTTTGGTGTGGTTGTTCTTGGCTAATGACTGTAGTGTATGATAGCAGCCTGTCAGTTATAATCCTTACTAGAGTCCTTTGCTTTAGGTAGTATTATTATAATATATATAATATATATAATAATATAACAAATCATTCTATGTAGGTTTTAGGGTGAAACAATGAAAAGTGAACATGAAAACTAAAGTTCAAAATAGGAGAATAAATGTAACCTGGTATAACATTTGTATAATATATAACTACAGTGTCATCGTTATTGATTCTAGAAATATTTTGAAAATCTTTAGTTCTTGACTATAACTTAAAATTCCTTTAAAAATCAGAACCTTTTATTTATATATATTTCTACTTCTTAGTTATTGAATAATTCTAATACTCAAAGCTAACACTGAACTCTTTTTGAAAGGTAACAAAGACTTTAAAGAGAAAAATCCTATTATAGTTTTAAATAAAAACTTAGTTGAGGGCTTCTCTGGTGGTGCAGTGGTTCAGGGTCCGCCTGCCGATGCAGGGGACGCGGGTTCGTATCCCGGTCCGGGAGGATCCCACATGCTGCGGAGCGGCTGGGGCCCATGAGCCATGGCCGCTGAGCCTGCGCGTCCGGAGCCTGTGCGCCGCAACGGGAGAGGCCGCAACAGTGAGAGGCCCATGTACCGCAAAAAAAAAAAAAAAACAAAAAAAAAAACACAAAACTTAGTTGAAAATTTCATAGTGGTAATAAAGCTTGGTTAACGTATTCTCTAAGCTAGGGTAAGTTACTTTGGTGAGTATATGCTTTACCTGGATGACAAATTTATTATTTTCTCTTTTAGCAGTAGTGGACAGGCTTCTTCCTTGTAACTGAGTTTTCATGAAGTGCTTCTAGCATGTTTTCATATAATTATGTAAGCCCCTAAAATTCTCCGATAAAAAGATTGTGATTAGAACCAATTCTCCTGACTGGTGATCCAGAACTCTTCTTTCCTTTCCTAACTACTATTTTTTTTTTTCCTTTGCGGTACGCGGGCCTCTCACTGTTGTGGCCTCTCCCGTTGCGGAGCACAGGCTTCGGATGCGCAGGTTCAGTGGCCATGGCTCACGGGCCCAGCCGCTCTGCGGCATGTGGGATCCTCTCGGACCGGGGCTCGAACCACTGCGCCACCAGGGAAGCCCTCCTAACTACTTTTATTCTTATTTCACATATTGGAAAACTGAGGCACAGAAGGGTTCAGTAACTTGGCTAGGTTCGCAGGGCTAGCTAGTGGAAGAGCTGAGATTCAGACCCAGGCCCCTGGGCTCCAGGGTCCAGGTTCTTAACCACTACCTTATATTAGTAGCCGTCAGTGTCTTCGGGAGACGCTGTTACCTGGTTAGGAAGAGGGAGATCACTCTTTATAAAAAATGACACTTTTTGGTATTTCTGGTTAACCTAATGGTGTTAGTGTTACTCTAGCACTACTGTGTTGGGCAGACATTGTAACTGGGAGATCACTTTGTTACCTAGAAACCAACACTGCAGATTTGCTTATTTACTCTGCTGAGAAGTGTGCTTATAAAATAATAACAAGATCTTAAAGTACAGGAATGTTTAATATTTTTAAGAGATACAGGAAGTACCGATAACATTAGAAACCATTACTTGCAAGATTTTTCTTTTATTTCTAAGCAGATTTTAAGACTTGAAATGGCAAAGTTAAATTTGATGGCAGAAAATTATTGTCAGGTTCATATATGTGTAGTTTGGTACGTTTTCCTGTTAGTATGAGATTTGATGCATTCTTTTCTTTCTCACTTAATGCTTTACAGAAAGTCAGTTTTAGAAGGAAACTGATTTGCTGGGATCCCTTTCCCTCCCTCCTTGTCAAAAACAATCAAATATTGACACTTTCCTGTGGTTACTTCTTATATGAGAAAAGTTTCTGTATCTCCTATTGAAAGGTGAAATTTTCACCTTTGCTATCCGTTAAATTATGCTTTGAAGGAAATTATCAATAATTAATAGTGAAACTTAATGTTTTCATTGTTAAGTCAGTTTTTGGCTACAGTATTACTTCTTCAGCCAAAATAAGCATTTTGAGCAATTCAGGATGTGAAAGCTTTGTAAAAATTCATTCATTAGTGAAATCCAGGCAAATTAATGGCTACAGGTTATTTTGAGATGTTTTCTCAAGAAAAATTAAAGTAGAAATAAACAATAGAAATTAATGAATGAGCATTAAGAAATTAAAATAAATCATGGCTTATAAAGCACTTTTCCAATATGGGACCAAGGTTGCCAGTCAGTTAATTATATCATTAACATATTTCAAATAATAGGCACTCTGATTATTTCAGCACATAAGACTACTCATGTAGGTACATTAAAAAAATCAGATTATCAGCTTTGTAATTGTTAAAGCTGTTAAGCACATTAAATGTGGGCTGCTAATCCCCATGGTTGTGCACTGCATTTCTAACACACCACAGAAATGATGCTGTCACCACCATGTCCGCCTTTCCAGAGGGAGCACAGGATGACATTTACTGAGAACAGAGGATGTCACTGCTGAACATAACCCTGCTCTCTTGATTTAAATAGGCTTTGCTTTTTGTTGGGATGGGGAGGGGTTGCACTCTGAACATGGGAACTAATCTGCATTATTTTAGCTTACCTTCATTTAAGGTGATGCCCAATGCAGATAATTTAATTTTACCTCTAACCTTGCATGTTAAAATTTTGTTTGGATGAACTTTGAAATAATAAGTATAAATGTTTGTGTATATGAAAAGGCAAGCTTTTCTCCAAAGGTAAGTTCTGCCATATAAATTGTACTTTGGATTCATCTATATAACTTACGTGTTTTTTTCTTTCGTTTTTTTTTGGTTGTTGTTGTTCTCCATTTTTTGTTGTTGTTGTTACCTCCCTTATAAGTATTAAACATTAGGTTTATCTAATGCATTAGTTTAAAGAAACAATTAAATGGTAATTTATTTTCCTAGCATATTTGAAAGAAGGGCAGTCCTAGCTTCATATAATAGGAAGGTGGAAATAAAGAATGTAACTTACTTGTACTGATCACTCATTAGCAATGTAGTTGCCGGGATCCAGACTCCGGTCTCCATTATGAAATGTCTGCTACAATGTCTGTATAATCATATTTTAGCTGCAGTTGGGATGAGAGCTCAGAGTTTGATATTCCCGTGTGATTTTTTTTATCATCCAGATTATATAATGTTTGTCTCTGAGGGATCCTGAGTTCCTCCATGTTTCAGAAATGACTGGTCAAGTTGTGTTTTGTGGGGTGGGGCTAGGGCACATTGTCACGATTCAGTCGGTATCCAGGCTTACTGCTAAGCTCAAGTCATAGTGGTTTATTTGGTGTCTCTCAAGACCCAGCCCTTATGTGTTGCATTTTCCCTCAGTGATTTCCTGTCTGCAAGATAAATTCAGTCTTTTTAGCGTGGCACACAGGACCTTTCGTGATCTGGCACTGTCTTCTTTCTTGTCTCCTTTCCCTTCCCCACTCCTCAAAACATACACATGCACCCTTTAAAAACTTCTGAACTATGTATATTTCTACCTAACTGTGCCATTCTTTCCCAACACCTTGACTGCATGTGTATGTGTGTCTGTATACCTTTTAGTGTTTTATCTACAGTCAGTTTCATTTTGACAATATCCCTGATCTTCTCAGAGTCAATCCCTTTTTTCTTATACTGTTCCCTTTTTATCTACATAATTCTCTTTTGTACTATTTCAGAGCGCCTTAATTTATCTTCATGTTTGTCATGCACCAAACTGTACCCTCCTAGGAGGCAGAAATTGTGGCAATGAAAACTATATCCAAATATAACCTGCAGTCAAGTGTGAATAAAATTTAAAAGCAAAAATTACTGTTTAGATGCCTTCTATATTTTTTGAAGTCACCTCAAATAGTTCTATAGTAAGATATAAAACTAAACAGCATTTCAGAATCTTATTTTTTGCCTAAAATTTAAATGTTTTAAGTTTTTCTTTAATATTTGTTTCATTTGTGTTCACTGTTATTTCCTCTGAGGTAGGAATATTTGGCCATATTTCTCACTTGACTTTCAAGCAGGAGAAAGAATGCTGTAGCAGATATTTAAATGTATCACTTAGCATAAGAGAATTTTTTAAGAAAATGATAGCATGGGGATGTATGTTATTTTCCTATTTTAAAACATCAGTGTCAGTAAAGTTTTGGATATTGAAAAATCTCTTGTGTTTATGGCTTGGGGTCATTTACTGGGCTTGATTTCAGTACTGTTTAGTAAAATACAGAATTAACAATAAAATAAAACATTTCATCAGTATGATATTGAAGAATAGCAGTTATTTCATGAAGAATGGAAATATTTTTGTCTAAGCAAATGCGGCAATGTGATGCCTTGGTGGAGGTACTGTGCTCGCAGTGACCCTGACAGTCTTACCCCAGAACTCTCCACAACTTTTGTGGCAGAGCCTCAGAAGAATATCTCCCTCGCAGAGATGAAAGCCAAGGAGTCTTCATTATCAAGCACCTTTGTGCACAGTAAAGGGTTAAGAACCAGGCAGTTGATGGCAGAAGAATTCCTTAAGTTCAAAATTAGTTTCAAGACAGGCATTCAAAACCAGTTTAAAAGAAGCCGTTAACAGCACGTCCTCCAGTGGAGGACTGGCTCAGAAAGGAAATAATGCCAGATGACAGGGGTACCTTTAGACTTGTAGGGCAAAGCTTTCATTTTCAAGTTTTGTGTAAACTTTTTAATGCCTTTTAAAAAATTCAGTGTGATGCCTAGTCAGATAAAATGGAAATGACTTCTGAAAACGATCTTTACTTTTAATATTGTCTTATAAATAATGTTACATGACTTCAGTAGAGTGACTGATAACTTTCCTCTTTTTTTTAGGGTGAAAATCCTATTTATAAGAGTGCTGTGACAACTGTTGTCAATCCAAAGTATGAGGGAAAATGAGTGCTGCCAGTGCGTATCCACAACACTGAGTGCAAATAAGTAATTCCACACCCACAGTAAGGTAGTTTCAGGGCAGTGTTGCTGTGGTTCTCTCATGGGCAGGTTCTGAAAATGTACAATATGTATAATTTGAAAATTTTTTTATTATTTTGAAAATAATGTTATAATCAATGCCAGGGACTGACAGAAGACTTGAGACAGGATGGTTATCCTTATCATCTAAGGTTGCATTGTGCCTTTTTGACCTTTTCTTCCTGGACTGTTGAAATCCAGCTCTTAGTGGATTAAGCGATATTTCTAGAGTGATTGAAAGGGCAGTAGTTAAAGTAATGAGTATGATGAGAGTTTCTGTTAATCAAGTATTAAAACTGATTTCTCGCTTTGCAGATATGTCACTTTTCAGTTATACAGAATCCAAAGTGAATGTCCTTCTAGCTAGTTTAGAATTGTTTTAAATTTATTATTTTGTTATTTTCCTTATTAGACATGAGTGATGACATGATGTATCTGAAAGATGAGTATGTTGGGAGTTGCTTGTGTAAAATAATGAAATATTTGATCTACAAAGGCTATGGGAAAAATCAGAGTTAGGAAGGGAAAACATAGCTTTAAAACCTGTGCCGTTTCAAGAGTTACTTAATCTTGGTAACTTTTATGCCTTCTTTTTTTAAATTCAAGCCTTGGATAAAAGTATTGGGGAATTTTCTTCAAAAAAAGTCCTTGATTTATATAAAGGCCTTAATTTACATAGTATTTGCTGAGTTGGGGACCTCTGGGTGAATTTATTTTTATTCATTTTATTTTGTTTAAAGCCTGGTGCTTTTTATCACCTCTTCTAATCATTTAATGTATTTGTTTGCAATTTTGGGTAAGACTTTTTTTTATCAGTACTTTTTCATTGATGTTTTAGCTGTACATTTGCCTTTTTAATGACCATGTGAAATTGTACTATGGCTTATGCAACAGCCATCAGTTAAGCAATTCTTAATTTCAATTAGTGACGTAACAGACCACTGTATATTTACTTCTCACTGTTTGAATTTCTGGTTTCATACTAGTCACATTCTTATTTTAAGTGCCTTTTAATTTTAACAGTTCACTTTTTACAATGCTATTTACTGAAGTTATTTATTAAATAAAAATGCCTAAAATATTTAAATTGGATGTTTGGGTTTTATATATTTTGTCAGTTTGTGTGCCTAAAATTTTTATAGCTTAAAGAGATTGACAGAAAATTCCTGGTCATTGGGTATTTTACTTAGACTAAAAGAGAGAAGGAAAGAAGGAAGGGAAGGAAGGAGGAGAGAGATGGTAAAATAAAATTTCAGACTGTCTTTGGGCTCTCTATATAATACTGGATAAATCCCCTTCTCTCCCCTCTTCTCTTCCCTCCCTAGGAGATAGGTTTCATCCCTATATTAAGCAGAATTAACTCTTTATGAACATCCTCTTAGAGCTATTAACTAGAAGCTGGAAATTATATCATTTTATTTAAGATACAGACAGGGAATTGTTACGTTTCTGATAAGTAAGTTTCTGTTTTCATTTGGCTTTGGTTTATTTATGTTAGAAAGTATATGTATCCATAAAAAATACTTGTGTGAAGCTTATTGAAAGAAATATATCCCTTCTTGGAGCAATACAATAAGTGTCAGAGATTTGGGGAGAGGATTGTGGTAAAAGTTTCAACTTTACCAGCCTCTCACATTTGCAGTGCCCCTCCCATTTAAAAAAAAATTGGTATCTTTTTTTACCTGTTCCACTTAAATGTATTTCCTAGCTTAGACTAAATCATTTTTCAGTTGAGAATTATACATCTTTATGAGGAAAATTACCTCTTTCATGAACTATCCATTTCACCTGTTTCATTTTCCATTCCCACCACCCACACTGCCGCTTGGTTCAACGCATTTCCTTACACCCGAGGCATAACCCCATGAACTGAATACCATATTTCTGTTCCACAAGTTTGCTTTTATAGTGAGATTTTTTTATAAATAGGAACAGACCCTATTTTCTGTTATATTCAATACATGATTCTTTTTCCTGGCATATGTTTTTGATGCTGAGATATGGTGAATTTTTAATTTTATATTATAATTTATAAACAGATTTTCAGACTGTAGAAATCCTTTTATTTGGAAGCTGGAGGAATTGTATAGAATTTATTTCTCATGCTGACCATAACAGCTTTGGCATTTGAATAATTTTAGGCTTAAAACTGCAGTTTCAAAACACAGTCTAAGAGATTGATAATTAGCTTTGAAACCACATAGAACTTTGTCACTAAAATATTTTTTATTTTCCTAGCAAATAGTACATTTTGACCTCCAGTGAAATGCTTTCCAAAAGTTAATGAGTCCTGAAAGAAAATAACAGTTGTAAACTTTTTTTCATTCAAACTCTTTGTTTTGAAAATTTATGAAATGTTAGGTCATGCCTAAGTGTCAATAGTGGCATATTTTGCAGTGATTCTCTGACATTTTACAAAATTTTCTTACTCTTTTGCAGAGGATAACTTTATAAATTCTTTGATAAACACGCCCAGATAAGACCTTGAGCCACGTGAACACTTCATCATACTAGTTAAAAAGCACTGTGGTCAACTTCTGATTTTGGAATTGTCTTTTTCCCACTCTTCTGTTGCTTACTAGAGTTTGAGAGGTAAACTTATTGAAGAGAGGCCATTTGTCTTTTTTTGCCTGTGTCCTTGAAAACTTATTTCTGACCTAATAAGTTCATAGGAGTTCAGAAACAGCAAGTATCTCCAGGACTCTTCTGGAGCCTACAGAGACAGTCCACTGGCTCTTTGGACAGCTCTCATGTCCCAGGATTCTCCTGAGAATTTAGGCAGATGTGGAAGTGGCTTCTGAGTGAGTGATCCATGGGAGCAGATTTTGAGGCTGGATTAGATTAGACAGCCCATTAAGCCTCCACCACTGTGAGGGTGGTAAGTTGTCATACATATCAAAATGTACAAAATGCTAGGGTAAATCACAAGACAAATATTAGTTAAATCCACAGGTAGTAACTATCTTTTTATTTAATTTCCTTCTACAATCTCTCTAAGTCTTCACTGGATTTTAACTATGTTAAGATCTTACATGAATTTTTCAAGGCTATAGAGTTTCCACAAAAGTATTTAGTGGTATTTCATTTAATTTTACTTGTATTCTACCTACTCTGGGTTTTTTGGTCTCAGGACTAATTCTAAAATAGACTGGTATATTAAACAAGAGTTAATTAAGGATCACTTTGTGAGAGGAAACAGTATTCTGAATATTTAAATCCCATAATTTTATTCATTACTGTAATAGTTTAGGGAACTGTTAGAAGACAGCATTGTCTTCAATTTAATGTGTAGTAGGTGATATGTTGTTGATGTTACTTATTGATAACAATGTTATGTTAATGTTGCTTACTGATCAGAGTTATTCCTGGGCGATAGACCAACATTCAGGTCTCCTTCAGTAGCTAAGTAACTGGCCCCTCGGCAACCATTTTAAAACATGGATTTGATTATATTGTCCCAACGCCCCCATTTCCATCTCCGCTTTCACATCCTCAATCCTACCACATGTCCTTTGTAGTTGATGTTTCTGTCTTATCCCTAGATTTGATAGCTCCAAGAATATAGGACCCTATGTGTTTTGATTCATCATTAAATCCCTAGAACAATGTCTGTCATGAAGTAAGTAGGTGACCGTAAGTATTTGTTGAATAGGTGGGATTCATCTCCCTGAGTTGCCACTACTACCTACCTAGCAGCATTTGCAGTGATACACTCTGCCTTCCTGCCAGTTCTTATAAACTGTACTCCAAGGTCAGTCCTTCCACTTATATCTTCAGTGCCATCCCCTCTTGACGATTAAAACAAGCAGTGTGCTTCCCCTTTCCTGCATTATTGATTTTCCTCTCTCTCCTAGATCATTCCCATCACTAACAAACATGCGAGTTATCTGTTCTCTATTCCGTTTTACATCTCAAAAGAATTGTCTAATGCATACACGCATGGGCAGTAGATTTTTAACAAGGGTGCCAAAGCCTATTCAATGAAGAAAAAAGTGTCTTCAACAGATGATTCTGGCTAACTGGATTTTCACATGCAAAAGAATGAAATTGGACCACCCCATCTCACACCACATACAAAAATTAGCTCAAAATGGATCAATGACCCAAGAGCTAATACCATAAGATTCTTAGAAGGAAACATGGTAAATCTTCATGACCTTGGGTTTGGCCACATTTTTTTATTTTTATTTTTTTATTTTGCGGTATGCGGGCCTCTCCCGTTGTGGAGCACAGGCTCCGGATGCGCAGGCTCAGCGGCCATGGCTCACAGGCCCAGCCGCTCCGCGGCATGTGGGATCTTCCCGGACCGGGGCACGATCCCATGTCCCCTGCCTCGGCAGGTGGACTCTCAACCACTGCGGCACCAGGGAAGCCCTGGCCACAGATTCTTAAATGTGATACCACAAGCATGAGCAACAAAAGAAAAAAATGTATGATTTGGGCTTCATCAAAATTAAAAGTTGTGCATTAAAGGACACTTTATTAAGAAAGTGATAAAATGTACAGAATGGGAGCAAATATTTGTAAATTAAATATCTGATAAGAAATTAATATATAGAATGTATAAAGAACTACAACTCAACGACAAAAAGACAAACTAAATTATAAATGGCCAAAGGACTTGAGTAGACATTTCTCCAAAGAAGATACACAAATGCCCAACAAGCACATGAAAAGATACTCTACATAATTAGCCATCAGGGAAATGCAAATGAAAACCGCAGTGAAATACCACTTCATGCCTACTAGAATGGCAGTAATTTAAAAAAAGTGGAAAATAACAAGTGCTGGTGAGAATGTAGAAAATTTAGAAGTCTTGTACATTGCTGGTGGAACAGATACTTATACACCAAATACTTATTGCAGCATTATTCACAATAGCCAAAAGGTAGAAACAACCCAAGTGTCCATCAACAGATAAATGGGTACCCAAAATGTGGCATATACAACCAATGGAATATTATTTAGCCATAGAAAGGAAGGAAGCTCTAATACATGCTGTGACAGGGATGAACCTTGAAAACATTATGTTAAGTGAAATAAATCAGACATAAAAGGACAAATATTGTATGACTAATTATAGGAAATATCCTGACTAGGCAAATTCATACAGACAAAATAGGTGAGAAGTTACCTGGGGCTGGAAGGGATTAGAAAGGGGGAGCTATTGCTAATGGTTACAGAGTTTCTATTTGGGGTGATGAAAAATTTTGGAAATAGTGGTGATGGTTACACAACATTGCAAATGTAATTTTTTAAAAACTTTTTTCCCTAACTTTATTGAGGTATAATTGATATGACATTGTGTAAGTTTAAGGTATACAACAATGGTTTTATCCATTCATATGCTGTAAAATGACTGCCAGAATAAGGGTATTTAACACATCGATCACCTCACACAGTTAAAATTTCTTATGTAATTTGATGAGAACTTCTAAAACCTACTCTCTTAGCAACTTTGAAATATACAATATAGTATTGTTAACTACAGTCAACAGGCTGTACATCACTAGAACTTCATCTTACAACTGTAAAGGTTGTGCCCTTTCACCATCTTCACCCATTTACCCCACCCCCAGCCGATGGCAACCACAGTCTGTTCTCTGTTACTATGGATTCAGTTTTCTTAGATTCCACATGAGTGAGATCATACAGTATTTGTCTTTCTTTGACTTATTTAACTTAGTATAATGCCCTCCAGGTTGATTTATTTTGTGGCAAGATTTCTTTTTTCTTGGCTGAATAATATCCCATCATATATATATATATGCCACATTTTCTTTATCCATTCATCTGTTGGTGGATGCTTAGGTTATTTCAGTGTCTTAGCTATTGGTAAATAATGCAGTGAAAATAGGGGTGCACATATCTTTTCAGATTAATATTTTAATATCCTTTGGATACATAACCAGAAATGAAATTGCTGAATCATATGATAGTTCTATTCTTAATTTTTTGAGGAACCTCCATACTGTTTTCCATAGTAGCTGAACCAATTTACATTTCCACTAGCAGTGTGCAAGGATTCCCTTTTCTGCACATCCTTTCTGACATTTATCTTTTGCCTTTTTCATAATAGTCATTCTTAACAGGTATTGTGACTTTTTAAAAATTTAATTTTATTTATTTTTGGCTGTGTTGGGTCTTTGTTGCTGAGCTCAGG